GGTGAAGGAAGAAAAAAGGTACTACTGGGGAATGTTTTGCTCCCACCAAGTTAAATGATACTATACCACAAAGATGTGAATATTGGAAGACGGTTCTTGGGTTCTTATTTTTGATTTTCATTTAGATTTAACAAAAGGAAAGGCAAGATGCTCCTTTTAAAGTTATACATATTTAATGAGCCTCTGATCTGTGCAGGTCATTCTGTTAGGCACTGACGATATAAATTAACATTAAAAAACATTCTAAAACATGGTTTTTCCTCTCAGATCTGTTTTGTTTTTTTTTTCTTTAAAATAGGTAGGGAGTGCTCTCCTAGTATAAAAGGATTTCAAAGAGCATTTGTACGCATAAACTTTTTTTTCCCTTAAATGCTGATGTCAGTTTCATAAGATTCATGTCCATTTAGGGGCTAAAAGGTTGTAACAACATCCCCAGAGTTCAGTGCCAGATGTGTTTGCATGGCAGATCATGCAGACCCAAATTCATCCTAGCATCTGGTTAAACACATTCCACATCAGATCTTAACCATATGTAAATATAATTGAGAGCAAGTGAGAAAATAATCTGTCTCTCTTTTTGTTCTATTTACAGTGTAAACAACAATTCTAAAGTTACAAATTTATAACTAGATTAACAATATTAGGTATTTATTACGAGGCCTTTGCCACATGGTTGAGAAGATAATGCTGTGTCTAGAATATATAGCATGCTACATGGACATGCAGGTACAGGAGTAAGGATTCATGGAGGGAATGATCACTTTCAGTTGGGATGATCAAAGACAACTATATAGAGGAGATAGACCCATGAGTCAGGAAGAGAAGGAAGTGTTTCAATGGGTAGAATTAGTTCAGAGAATATCTCGGTGGGGTGATGAGAACAGGAGATAGAGAGGAATAATATGAACAAAAGCAATATGAACAAGAGCTAGAAAAAGCACAGTATTTAGAGAGGATAATAAATAGATAATAAAGATCCTATGGTACGATTAATTGATAGACATCCTGGAAAATGAGGTTAGGCTAAATTTTAGGTAAACTTGAATCTAAATTATAGGACTTTGTGCTATAAACTCTTGAGTTAAATGTATTGATGCACTGAGAGTGATTTTGAAGAAAGAGCTTGACAGAAATATGTAGGAAGTAGAGTCTGAACTGAGATAGAAGAAGTTGTAATGGAGAAGTAAAAGGTGGGTTATTTTTAAAAGGTAGCAGCAGAGACTATCTGTGGAGTTGTGAATAATAGAGGAAGCAATTACAGAAAATTGTAGTTTTGAATTTGGATGGCTGGGAGAATGGCAGTATAAGTAAAGAAAATCAGGAGAACTAGTCTTACAGATTAAAGGTAAATTTAATTTTTAATATATTGCATTTGAGATGACAATAAGACTTTCAAGTGAAAGTATCCAATAGACTTTTGAATATGCGATACTGAATAACGGTGATGGTTGGAAACTCTTGGAGTAGGTGAGTGCCCAAAGGGAGAAGCATGAAGACAGAGGAGTATACTGTCGAGAGAGAACTTTGATGTCCACATTAGGGTAAGGGAATGACAGAGGCCGACTATCAGAAGTGGCAATCGACAGTGGAGGCTTCTTAAGGTGAGGAGTGTAGGCATCTTGCCTTGATCCAAGGACTGACTTGTTCCCAAATTCAGAGGGGAAGAATTCAGTCATTCATGGTTCAGTACGATGTTAGCTGTAAGGTTTTTCTAGATGCCCTTTATTAAGTTTAAGGCACTACTCTTCTATTGCTAGTTTACTGAGAGATTTTTACCATGAATGAATGTTTCCAGTGGTTTTCCTACATTTATCAAAATGCTAGTATGATTTCTCTTTTTTAGGCTTTTGATACAATGGATTACATTGATTAATTTTCTAATGTTGAACCAACTCTACATGGTCATGATATGTTATCTTTTTTAATGTTACTGGGTTTTATTTGCTAATATATATTTTTAAGAAAATTTGCATGTAAGCCCATGAGAGATAGTAATCTGTAAATTTTCTTGTAATGTCTTTGATTTCATATCAGGGTAATGTTAACATCAATAAATGAAAAAATGAAAAAATGAGTTGGGAAGTGTCCTTTCCTTATTTATTTCAGAGAAGAGTTTGTGAAGGTTTGATATTATCACTTCCTTTAAATACTTGGTAAAATCCCAAGTGAAAGCACTTTGGCTTAGAATTTTCTTTGTAGGAAGGTTTTTATCCATGAGTAGATCATAGGGCTATTTATGGTATCTGTTTTTCTGAATAAGTTGCTGGTTTGTATCCTTCCAGAAGTTTGAGTGTTCCTCATCTAAATTACCCAAGTTTTATGCATCAAGGTATGCATAATATTAGCCTTTTGATGTCTGTAGGATCTATTATAATATTTGTCTTTCATTTCACTTACATCTATTGCTTTCTACTTGTCCCATCTGCTCTTTGTTTTAATTTTCTCTTTTTAGGTTTTCTTTTTAGATTGAGTTATTCTTTATGATTTCATAAAGTAGATATTTAGGATTGAGAGAAGGCAAGATGTGAGCTCTCATGTTATAGCTGAAATTCTCTCAATAAAGTGAGATGTATGGTCATAAGCTGAGGGTGGGGAAAGGTGGCCATCTTGTACAGAGAAGGTTTAGGACATTTGTCTTGGGATGTCTCCTGAGAAAACAGCAAGAGAGTAGCATGGATTTCCAAGCATTAATGAGGGCCTGGCTGAAGTAGACATGTAATTAATAAGACTACTTGGATAGCTAACATAAGGTATGTTTCCAAATAGGCCTTAAAGTTGAAAAATGTGAAAAAAAATTGCAATGGAATTACAGTAGTGATTAGAATGTTTTACATTTCGATTTTAGTTTTAATCAAATGCATTTGTGTTTTCCCTCATGAGGGTTGAAGATACTAGCTCTTTTAGAAAATCACATTTGCCAGGAGTCTATACCTTGACATAGTTGTCTGCTGTCTCTCCATATATTGAAACCTCAGCAGTTTACACAGGGCAGATGAACTCAAGGATTTTTAGTGAAGACCTGAGTGAAGTTTCTCCCGTTTTCTTTTTCAGAGCTAAGATATCTGAAAAGCCAGAAAAAGTAGAATAGCTGGAAGGAATTGGTATTGGTGAATGGAAATAGAACGAATGGAAAATTGGCAAGCCAGCTGGATATTTTGTGGGACTAATGGTTTTAGAAACATGTTTGTAAGATGAGAATAATTATTCTACTCTTTGAACTGATTACATTTTGTATTGTATTCTTTTTGTTTGCAAAAGCTGTGATTGCTTGATTCATGTGCTCACATTTCATTACGTGAATCTAAATTCCTCCTTGTCCATAGGCACTGTTATTTTGTTTACATATTGAAAATCGATGTAATTAGAAGTGGGAAATCACTGTTTCACAGGAATATTTCATTTGAACTGCTTTCACAATTAGAACTGGTTCTCAGAACAGCTTTTTTTGACCAACCCCCACTTTAGCAGCAGCAAAAGTAAGGTTTTGTGTGAAAAATTTGATAAAGATATTTTCCATAGACTGAAAAATGAACTAGCTCCTATTTTCCCAGAAGGGGCCACGATGGCGCTGCCCAGGCCGCCTGGGCCTCAGCTCTGGCTTCACTGCCGCCTGCCGCTGTGCAGCCCGGTCTAGGGGCTCAGTGCTTCAGTGTCTTCATTTCTGAAATTGGGTTTTATCTTACAGATTTTATGTGAAAATTAAGTGAGTTAATACATGTAAAATGTTCGCTGTGAGCCTGATGCATAGCATGTTTTCAATAAGCTGTAGTTACTAGGATGAAAAAGTCAGGCTCTGAGCATTGCCAATAAGGTGGGGTTTGAACAAAGTCTGAATCCAGGACCCTGGATGCAAATCTACACACATGTGATAACTACCTTAAAAAGGTACTGGGAATAAAAATTCCATTTGAGTGTGACATTTATTGATGGTTTAAGGTATTTTTTCCTGTATAATGTATTTTCTCTCCCAACCATAGCAATCGCTTCTTCAAATGTAATTTTACTGTTAGTGTCAGTATGTAGATTCTAAATCAACTCTTTCTGATTACTGAAAAACCAGTATAATTAAGGCAGAACTTGTGTCCATAAGTGATGATAGTTAATGTGATTTTTGTAGCTGTCAACATAATAAGCTAATGGTAAAAGGCAAAGAGAAATATGTTGGAAAAAACAACAACAACTATGTTTTAGAATAGAAAGAAATAGCATTTAAATGGGCACTAACCATGAGAGGCATTTCCCCCTCATACGCTATTTCACTCATTTAGAGGAGAGCTGGGGGTCGGCTCCTAGTCATTTGATTCCAAAGCTCATGCCTTCTCTGTTGCATCTGTCTGCCTCCCAGAAATAGTCTGTACGCTATTGAATAAGTTTCATAAAAAACTTGTAGCTGATCTACAAAAATAAAACTTCTCTAATTTTTTAATATCTTATAATTCAGCTAATTTAACTTATTTTCTTATTTTGATTGTCTTTCATTTTATTAAGCATATGCCATTAAAGCTCATACTAAAACCACCCATCATCTTAAGGATGGGTTTCCTTATTAAGTGCAGAAGAGACACTATCTGTGGAAACAGTGGAAAGAGAACCAACCTTGCAGCTGGTTCTTGCTTTGCCAGAAATTAGTTATGTCATTTTGGGGCAAGAAATATCACATGTAGAAGGTTTTCTCTTTATTTGCATAATGAATGAAAAGTACTCAGTGATCTTGAACATTCCATCTCTTTTGATGCTTTATGGTATCATACATCCATACCACCGTTTCCTGAAGAGCCAGAAGTTCAAAGATGGGCTAATTTCCTGGGGAATGGGTTCCCTAGTTGGAATCCTCCAGCCCCTTAGAAATTTTCAGGACTTAAAAAATGACTACGGATGCAGAATTTTGTAATAAGCAACACCAGAGTCAGTTTTTTAAGGTCCTATGTATACTCTTAATCTAAATTCTTTTCCTTCTGAATTTAGGATACCCTGATGTTTCTTTCCCATATTTCCCACAGGATTATTTTACAGATGAAAACAGAGACTTGAAAAAGGATGCTCAGCAAGACTACCACCTGGAATATGCCATGGAAAATAGCACACACACAGTAATTGAATTTACCCGAGAGCTGCATACATGTGACATGAATGACAAGACCATAACAGTAAGGAGTGTCCAAGGGAACGCACGCATGAATAAGTTGTACTTTTACAGTTGTGAAATCCTTTACAGAATAAAAGGAACAAATATTATAAATAACCTTTGATAACAAAGTCATAGAGTCTTTGGGGAAATATTCTTGAATTCTCTTTATAAGCCACACACAAAAAAATCTGAGACTATAAGTACCAATAAAGGCAGTTTTTGTGTTAATCTAAACTTTTGAAGAGCAGTGTAAAGCATGTATGCTTTGACTTATAAAAGATTTTAAGCTTCTTTATGATGTTTGAAAATAGACAATAGATAAAGACAGGAAGAAATGTATTATAGGAAAGAAAAGTATGATAGTGAATGTAATTCATCTGATTTGTAACTGATTCATCATAGTAAACTTCTAAAATCAAGATGAATAGTAAACTAATTAAAATTGCCTATGAACATATTATACAAGATTTCTTATTGTCAGAACTCATACAAAAAGTAATTGTTTATACATATGCAAATTTAATATTGTGAGACAATATAATTCATGTGGTACTTTGGAAGTTTCCATGAATTTCTTAGATCAGTTTCATTTTGTATAGACCAATACAGTTACCTCTTTTAATTAGTAAATCAAAGCTTCAAAAATAGGAATGTAAAAATCTAAAGCTGTTTTGATTAACATTCAGCTTAAAGAGTAAAAAAAGAAGAAGAAAACACATGCAAAGACATGGATCATTTTTTATGTAATGTACAGTGCAATTATACTTTAATTGGAATAATAATTATAGTCATTTGACTTATTAAGAAAGAATATAGCTTTTAAAATAAATAGCTTTTGCTTTATTATTTGTTTTCAAAGTTCTTATTACAAAGATGTGGCAAAGACACCTTTCTCTGTGGGAGGACTGAACCATTTCATTACCCCGCAGCAAACCCTCCCCCGCTCTGCCACTTCGTGGGTAATTTCTCTCTTAGTTGCTAAGTGGGAACCACTCTCATCTGACAGTACTTCTAGTTGGGATACAACAGTTCATCTGATTTGTAACTGATTCATATTAGTGAGGTTCTAAAATCAAGATGATTAGTAGACTGACTCCTTAGAAAGTCCAGGGATTCATACAAGGACTTTTAGATAAATTCAAGGTTCATAAACCCAGAACCAGAAGTTCCTCCTGTGTTTGCATTTTATGTAAATTCATACTTGTGACTGCGCTAGAAAATAAAAACTCTGACCTGGAAACTAACTTTAATTTTCATACTATCTATTTTTTTCCCCTAAAATATCCATGGCATTAAAACAAGTTTTAATTTTCCAAAATCCCTGCTGTTTTCCAAGAATATTTGCTTGGTAACTACCAGTTGCTAGTTTGGAGGTTTAGCATGACAATGATTTGCATTTTCTGTAGCATGAAAGCATACCTACTAGTCAGTTGTCCTTCACACTCTTCTGGAACTGTAATCTTGTCTGCTGAGAGGCAAGTCTTTCCTTACCACGCCCCCTTGAACCACACCCCCCGAAAAATACTTGTCTTCTGGGATACTTAATGATTTAATGAGATTTACACAATAAATGTTAGAGAGCATATTAAGAATTCCAAATGTTAGGTTTTTACATTCAACTCAGTGGTAAGGGCAGTGCTCTCCTGGGACATGATCGTGCCCGTGTCTGATCACCAGGAGAGCACCGTGCGAGTGATCTGGGCCTATCACCATGAGGATGTGGGAGAAGATGGTCCCAAGTACCACTACTCCAACCGTGGCACCAAGAGCCTGCGGTTACTGAATCCGGAGAAAACCAATGTATTGTCTACGGCCACACCATACTTTGACCTGGTAAATCAGGACGTAAGTTTTTTCAGATTTTATGACTATAGGGGTGGGTTTATTGAAAGTGTATAAGAGTTTTTACTTGTTGTATTTGATTGTTTGTCACGAGGATGTGACTTTGTGTTCCTGTCCCCTTTTTATTAAGACAGGTCCTCATCCCAAAGAAAGATACAACATATTGGTGCCAGATGTTTAAGATCCCTGTGTTCCAGGAAAAGCATCATGTAATAAAGGTATGTAACTCAGTTTAGGCTAAACTTAATTTGTATGAATGGAGGAGAAATTGTTCTTAAAATGAAAATGATAAAAAATGTAGAGACATGATTTTCCATTCTTTGAAAGTTATTTAGAGAATAAAGAGCTGGCTTATCTGACACACACATTGTCTTAAGTGTCACTGAGTTTAGGGAGAAAGCTTGAATTGTACCTAGTGTTTTGCCTTTTCTCTCCTAGTGTTACATGTTAAATGTAAAGGTTTTCGGATGCATTTGAACACCTCTAGTTATTTCTCAGACAACACTTCTACAATTGGAATTTTGGAATTGCAATTTAAAATGATATATTTATGTACTGGTAAATTATATCCAAGAAGGTTACATTCTCCACCAAAATTGTCTGAGAACATCTGCTTCACTGAAAATACTGAATATTGTTCATAAAAGTAATAATTACAGTGTTATGGAAACTAAGAAAAAAAGAAAATTAGTGAATTTCTACAGGGTTTATAAAATACAGAATTGTGTAGTAAACAGCCCCAGTTTGCCTGTGGCTCTAATTCCTTCCCACTCTCTCAGGGACAGGTCTCCCCAAACTTTTTCCTCTAGTTAGTGAATGAACTAGTATTTTAAAACACTTTTTCAGTCCTTGGCTTTGTGCCAGGACTTGTTTGGCAGTTCCCAGGGCCTGAAGATATCCATTGTCTTAACCTATAGTAAGATTGTAGGAGCCAGGACCAAGACACAGGGAAGAATAAGACAATTAAATAGTGCTTATTAAATACTGTAAACATTTAGTAAAGCCAGACATTGCCAACTTTTTGTCAGCCCTGGAAAATGGGCATAATAGTTCTCACCTAACAGGATTCTTATGACTATTAAGTGAATCACAAGAGTTTAATATTTGTAAGTATTTAGAAAAGGGTCTGGCACATAGTGTTTGTTAAATGAAGTAATTAAATAAAATGGTATAAATCACTAGCAATACACAATTGTTAATCTGTTGATGATCTCATTAGGCCGCTGGACTGCCAAGGAATCCCAAACCAGCCAGCACTTTCAAGACAGAGTTTCAAATAAAACCATGATTGTCACTCATTTCATTTAGGGAGACCATCCTGAGAACTTTCTGCTCTGGAGAAATCTGGAGTTCAGGTGAACAAAACACTGTCAATCACTCTCTTAATCAATAGAAGCAGGAAGGAGAGAAAATACTATGCTTTATACTTGCAACTGAACAGAACATCTTTCTTGCCCTGAAATTAGATGCTGCTACCTTTTTCTTCTGTTGGTGGCATTTGTAAATGTGAATGATTTAATCGGGGAATGTTTCCTAGGATAAGAAAGTCTAAGCATAATTGTCACTGAATAACCATGAAATGTCCTTGAAGCCAGAGTGCTCTATGGCCTTGGAATAGTCATCCAGAAGTTGATTTTTCTGTACTAGACACATAACAATGAACATATGACTTTATATACTATGTTAAATGGACCTTTCAGCCCTGACCAGTTTCTCTATTATGTTCATACCCCTCCCCCGCATTCTTTTTACTGAAAGGACACCATCAAATGCAGAACTTCAGCGTCGACACATTCTGAAATGTCAAGTATGACAGGGAGTTTCTATTTCTGAAAATGTGTAAGATTTCAGGGTTAAACTTAGTAAGTTGTGGGAATTCTTAATTTTAAACTACATGATTTGACAACTATTATAATTATTTCTTTTCTGTCAGTATATTCTTCTTTTTTTGTCTTCCCCTGAAATTTTGCAAAGTATATTTTAATTAAAGTAATTTTTTTCCCCTGATGGAAAGAGGTTTTTGGTTTGTCGTCAGAATGCATTTCCACAGACTCTTCTCTTTAGTTCTTATTATTTTTTGATGTGTTTACCTTCTGTTTCACTTTATCATGTGGCAGACTAGTAGGTGTTTGCTATTGATCGTTGACTGAATGATTGGTTTGTATTTTTATTTATTTCCATTCTAACTGTGAACTTTTTTTTTGGCTTACTGATATTTCGCATTTTTTTTTTACAAATTTAGTATTTTCTAAAGGCAAGTCTATGGATCTTAAGGCAGATTTTTTTTAGCATGTTGAAAGAAATTAACTTTCAAAGAAGGCCTCACATGAAAATACATTCCATTCTTTTTAAATATTTTGTAACTTTTTTTGGTTATTAAGTTCTATACCAATGCATTACCACTGGCCCCTGTGATTTTGCCATTCATTGACAAAATGAATGATTCTTGACCTCTAGGAAAAGTTGTGCTATAAATTCAAAACAATGCTCTTCTTTGGGAATTTGCCAGCCATAGTTCATAAACACCAAAATAATTATAGCCTTATATCCAAGAATGTATGAAATTTTATATATCATTTACCTACTTGAGAAGAGATGAAAATACTTGGCATTTACATGGTTGATACTGTAACTTTGGCCAAAAATGTTGGTAGGAACACTGCCCCTAACAATAAGTTGGCTCAAATTAACGTATTGTAAAGATTGTTGATTTAGATGGCTCAGTGTTGCAATGTTCTTTTTCCATCCTCTTGGGTTACATATATTTCACAGAAACACTGGATATTGTCTAGCTACTTGGGTGTTCTTAATAGCTACTTGTGGCTACAAGGTAATTGAACTCACTTTGAAAGCCTGTCTTTTCATGGAAGTGATTTATTGTTAACTGTCACTAATTAGCTTCCTGACCCTAGAGAAAGTACTTAACCCCTTTCTGGTTCTCAAATTCCTTGCCTGTAAAATAAAGGGACCAGATGATTTCAGTTGGCTCTTTTGACTTCTAAGTATCTATGACTTGCTAAAAAGTAGAAGTGAAATTTTTGTTGGGTTTGGATGCCCTGTGGCCTGAGTTCCTGATGTGCTTGTTTCTCAGTGTCCCTGGGCGTGGCCTGGTGGGATGCTTAGGACCCCACTGCCTCCCTCGAAGTTAAAAGGCCCCCTTCTTTTGTCCCCTGGGCACGGGCTTTCTTAGCATACATTCTGAGGCTTAGGTTTCCATCTGTAAATGGGAATGATCATAGTAGTACTTGTCTCAAATGGTTGCTGTCATCCTTAAGTGAGGTAATACCTGTAGAGTTCTATATGTTTGGCATGTATTATTAGATAGCTCAATAAGTGCTAGCTTTAGTCCCAATTTACATTGGTTTTGTATATCTCTAAATCTTGGAAGTAATCTAAATAACATAAACTTATGTAAATAAATAAGTAACCTAAATCTTGGAAATAATGTCATTTGTATGAAGAATAGAAATTAGAGTGCTAGAGAGAGCAAGGCTTAGAGGTTGGTGCAGTGTACAGGCTGGGCTCTGCAGACAGGTGGGGGTTGTATTCTAACTTTGTTCTTCATTAATTCAATGACCTTGGGCAAACTAAATTCTCAGAGTTTGTACCTTCACTTGTGAAGCAGAAAAAAATAATTTCTCGTGAAGATGAAATGAATACAAGTGAAAACACCTGTTGCATAATAGGCTTGTAATTGCTTGTTTTCTTCTCCTGATGGGGATTATAGAGATGGGCGACTTAAACTTCTTCTAGTATTTTCTCATACTTTGAGAAGGACTGCACTGAAACCATGGCAGGCTGTAAGTCTCTATTTTATGTTGAAGAAAAGATTCCCTGGGAATTAGATTTCATAGCTTGCTTCCATTGTTCTAAACCAAATGAAATTCAAGCTAATTTCCTCCTGTTCTTGTCTAAGGAAGGATAAAACCCAGCTGGTGACTATCGTCTGGGAAAGATTCTTTTGCATTCCAAGGTCAACCATTAGCCTTCCATTCTGTGGCCTTAAATAATGCCATTTTCAATAGATGTGGAAATATATTTGCTTTTTTTGTTCTCCTTTTACCGCTGAACTCTCTCTCCAATTTAGTACATTTTTTAAAAAGTAGTCCAAAAGGTTGCATGACAAAAGTGAAAAGCATTAGCACACTTATTAATAATTATTAGCTATAAAAATTGGTAAGTAGTTTAACAACACTTTTATCGAAAGAGCGCTAAGACATTTATGTTGAATTCTAGAGGTTGATGGCATAATAGGATTGAGAAGTATGGTAATATTAAGCTATGAATGGCTTTCACTTTCATACAGGGAAGTGTGTAGGTAAAATAAAATGCTTACCTATTTTTTGCTACTTTAATACATTGTCTTGTTAGATTTTCACAGCCTCCCATGAGGTCATTTGAATTACCACCATTTTACGGGTGAACACACTGAGGTACTGCATGAATAAGTGACTTGCTTAGTATTACACAAATTTTGTTAAGCAGAGCTAAGAATAAACATTTCTTCATCAAACTGGTGGACCTTTCTCTATACAATTTCTGCCAGCTCAGGACTTAAGATTTTTCTAGATGATATGTGCTACCATGAAAAATGATTCACGTGAGAAAGGTCTGGTAGCTTATATGCAGCCACTGGCCCTTTGACTATGTTCCTCAGAATCCACAATACTTGGTGTCCTACAGAATCAGTGCATAGACCAAGGGCTACATGAACAGATCTTACCGGAACCTTCCAGAGATACGGTCCAGAGATACTGGCAATTAACTTAAATCCAGTCAGATGGTATTGGAGTACACAGAGGCCAGCTGGTTCCACTCTGGGGGTTGAAAATGCTTGTTAATAAGGGATGACACATGCAGAGTTTCATTTGTGATTTAGGAAATCATTTAAATAAGATTAGAATTAGGCTGATTAAGCAAAGCATTATGCATATGGCTACAAAATGTTAAATCTCAGAGATGATATGAGGGAGGATGGAACTGGAAATAATTTCAGTGGCCAGAAGGTAGCCTGCTAATCTTATTGAACACGTCTTGTAACATAAGGATCATTGGAAACAATTCCTTTAGCCTCTGTTTAAACTGAATTACAATTCTCTTTGGAGTTAAGTGAAAACAATGGTAATGACCTATTTTGTTCCTCTTCATGATAATGGTGGATAAAAAGGGACTTCTGAGAAGCAGTACTAACATTTTCATTTGGAATTCAAATTTTGGC